GATGTAAGAAACTCATAAGCCTGCCAAGTTTATGCAGATTATCCAATACGAGATGTAAGAAACTCATAAGCCTGCCAAGTTTATGCAGATTATCCAATACGTGATGTAAGAAACTCATAAGCCTGCCAAGTTTATGCAGATTAAATTTTCTCTAAAAGTCTATATATTTCAACCCTTAACATTTGTTTGTAAAACAAATTAAATCCATTTTTACAATGCTTTACTTTTTCGATACCATTGAGTATAAGTAAGATATAAAATGCATAATTCGTGTAGGATTGATAAGCGGAAGAAGGGGGAGGGGGGGGAATTACCAGGGGGGGATTAACATGCTAGAATTTTTGAATGAGAAGGTTCCCTGGGCTGGTAAACCTGTATAAATGACAAATTCTAGTGCAGTTTCCCAGGCTTTGGTAGAATCCGACGTTTCTGTTTGTTTAGAACAAACCATGGTTTGCACAGATAGGAAAATTGGGTTTATGTTCAGAGCAAACAATAGTTTACACAGATAGGACACGGGGTATTCTAGTTTGCATAGGAAGGACAAGAGAAGTTTATGTTTAGAACAAACAATATTTGCACAGATATGACATGGGGAGTTTATATTTATAACAAACAATAGTTTGCACAGATAGGACAAGGAGACTTCTTGTTTAGAACAAACAATGGTTTGCACAGATAGGACAAGGGGAGTTTATATTATAACAAACAATAGCTTGCACAGACAGGACAAGAGGAGTTTATGTATAGAACAAACAACAGTTTACATAGAACCGATCTCTGTTATATTTGGACACAGCGTTTTCTTTTTACTTGTCAATCTTAGACAAACAAAACTAGGAGACCTTAATGCGTGCATGGAACAACATCGTTTGATTTATACAGTACACAAATACTTTACAATTTACCCTCCATTAAACGAGGGTATTGTCTGATTTACTCTATATTCCAAGTCAAACGTGGTTTATAAAAATTCGAATTTTCTGCGAATTCGTAAATATAAGTAAAAATCGCTGATTTTTACTTATATTTACGCAGATTTCCTTAAAATCTAAAAAGAAAGAGCGATAAAAATAAAAACATTCAGACATTTTTTCTAAAGATTATGACTTTTTATGAAACGTTGTGTGATATACATAAACGAGGCTTGAAATGTATTCAATAAGGTTGGAAATATTGAATATAGATCAGTATCTTATCATTTATTTTTTATTCATAAATGTTAGATTCCCAAACTAGCCCAAGGTCAGACTAAACCTTTAATTCTTTGTTGTATGTATAATATGCATATAAGGTTGTGTGAGTTGATGGAGGGGGGGGGGGGTTTAGTATGTATATGAGTATACGGAGAACGCAGAGCCTAGAAATTGAAATGTCATGAGAAGATACCCCGTGGAGAGAAGTTAGTTTTGTTGGCAGGAAGCAGAAGTATTGACAGAACTCAGCTCCCACTCAAAATATCTCATTCAACCTCCGTTCTTGATGAACTCCTGCCCACCTACCCTCTTCTCCATATACTTCATATAAACCTGTCAAATAAAGAGGTTTAGCTCTGATACTCCAGGATATATATAAACCTGTAAAATATAGAGGTTTAGCTCTGATACTGCAGGATCTATATAAACCTGTCAAATATAGAGGTTTATCTCTGATACTCCAGGATATATATAAACCTGTCAAATATAGAGGTTTATCTCTGATACTCCAAAATATATATAAACCTGTCAAACATAGAGGTTTAGCTCTGATACTTCAGGATGCATATAAACCTGTCAAATATAGAGGTTAATCTCTGATACTCCAGGATACATATAAACCTGTCAAATATAGAGGTTTATCTCTGATACTCCAAAATATATATAAACCTGTCAAACATAGAGGTTTAGCTCTGATACTTCAGGTAACATATAAACCTGTCAAATATAGAGGTTAATCTCTGATACTCCAGGATACATATAAACCTGTCAAATATAGAGGTTTAGCTCTGATACTTCAGGATATATATAAACCTGTCAAATATAGAGGTTTAGCTCTGATACTCCAGGATATATATATATATATAAACCTGTCAAATATAGAGGACTAGCTCAGATACTTCAGGATATATGTATAAACCTGTCAAATATAGAGGTTTAGCTCTGATACTCCAGGATATATGTATAAACCTGTCAAATATAGAGGTTTAGCTCTGATACTCCAGAATATATATAAACCTGTCAAATATAGAGGTTTATCTCTGATACTCCAGGGTATATATAAACCTATCAAATATAGAGGTTTAGCTCTGATACTCCAGGATATATATAAACCTGTCAAATATAGAGGTTTATCTCTAATACTTCAGGATATATATAAACCTGTCAAATATAGAGGTTTAGCTCTGATACTCCAGGATATATATAAACCTGTCAAATATAGAGGTTTAGCTCTGATACTCCAGGATACATATAAACCTGTCAAATATAGAGGTTTAGCTCTGATACTTCAGGATACATATAAACCTGTCAAATATAGAGGTTTAGGTCTGATACTCCAGGATACATATAAACCTGTCAGGCTGTCAAACATAGAGGTGTATCTCTGATACTTCAGGATACATATAAACCTGTCAAATATAGAGCTGTTTAGCTCTAGTTCGCAAGAATACACGTCAGAAAGAGGGAAAAATGTGATGAATTAAACTAAATAAATGAAATAAAACAATATTTTAGCAAAAGAAAAATTGAGATTGCCGGGTCATGCCTTTGCATTTTGCTAGATAGGATAAACACGCAGATACTTAGATATACTAATCATATTCAGCTCAATGGGTTGCAGAACTATACTATTCATTTTTCCAGGAGTAATTGAAATTAACTGTTTGGTCGTAAATTACGATTTAAGCTATTTTTCCCTATAAAAGTCAATATACTCAACTTAAAATCTCAAAACTAAGCTAAGAACATTCCCGTGGTTCTCCCAAGTTCCTCCATCAATTTGTGAGGCAAATCGGTCCAAGGGTTCATGAGTTATGATCGGACATCCAAGCAAACAAAAATACAGAGATTATTGCTTTTTATATATAAATACGGGGCATAGTTCTATAATTGTTTTATTTCAGGAGTTCTGTACAAATTTATTTTATCTGTTTGATGACTGGAGTCAAGGGTTTCTAGTCCAGGATAGATGGATTTCTCATCTCAAGAACACTTGCTCCACCAGGTTTGATTTATACTCTTTGTTTCAATATCTTGAGTCCTGGGCAGCACCAGGAGTTGTCCCTGATTCTAATCTTGTTAATCTGTGTATAATAGTTTCAATTTTTGGAATATTTGATCTAAGTCTCCGGCCCGCCCTGATAACACAAGGTTTACCAAGATTAATGGAAAGAGAACTTGGCTCCTGTATCCGTCCTAGCTTTATAGATCTTTCTAGATAAACAGTGGGAGATGGAGGAGGATAAAATATATGTATTTCTGTATAGCTACCAGATTTATGGATTCATACCGTTCTCTATATTTCATATTAGTACAACCACGGAGTAAAGGATGAATCTAAGAAAGACCCGGAAATAAAGAATCTAATGCTGGAGACTGTTAAATTCTATATTTTGTAGTGAGGGAGAGGATGAGTCCAAGAGAAGCTGGATCTAGTCCTGGAGACAGTTTAACCTATATATATTGTAGTGAGGGAGAGGATGAGTCCAGGAGAAGCATGATATAGTCCTGGAGACAGTTTAACCTATATATATTGTTGTGAGCGGAAGGATGAGTCCAGGAGAAGCATGATATAGTCCTGGAGACAGTTTAACTTATATTGTAGTGAGGGAAAGGATTAGTCCTGGAGAAGCATGATACAGTCCTGGAGACTGTTTAACCTATATATATTGTAGTGACGGAGAGGATGAGTCCCGGAAGGACCAGGAGAAAATGGATCTAGTTGAACTCCTGGAAGCTGTAACCTATCTTGTCTGCCAGGATAACCCTGTCTCCCCTGAAACCTTCCACAAGGTGAATATTTCATTTATCTAAACCATGTTAGTTCATGTAGGAATAGATTTAGCTTCGCCTAAGATTAATAATGGTTTTAATTGGTTTAAGTTTAATAAATTTAAACCTAATACACCATGATCACTAATTGAGTCCTGGATGCAGGATCTAAATGGCTTGATCACGATCCCGGTCACGGATACGTTCTCAATCTTTACTTTTCTCCAGTTAGTCCAGTAACTCCCCTTTCCCTTCTCTAATCCTATCCCTCTCCCCCTCCCATTTAACACTCATCTACCCCTCTCGTCCCATTCAACACTTATCTACCCCTCTCCTCCCATTCAACACTCATCTATCCCTCTCCTCCCATTCATCACTTATCCACCCCTCTCTTCCCATTCAACACTTATCCACCCCTCTCTCTTTCATTCAACACTTATCCACCCCTCTCCTCCCATTCAACACTCATCTACCCCTCTCCTCCCATTCAACACTTATCTACCCCTCTCCTCCCATTCAACACTCATCTAATCCCTTTCCCTCCCATTCAACACTCACCTACCCCTCTTCCTCCCATTCAACACTCATCTAATCCCTTTCCCTCCCATTCAACACTCACCTACCCCCCTCTCTCTCATTCAATACTCATCCAATTCCCTCCCTTCCCCTATCAAAACCTAATCTATTGTATTTCTCCCTGTTCATGTTTATATTGTACTTTAATTGCTTTTATCTTTCCATCCCTCCTTTCCTTTTATCCTCTCTCAGCATGTATTCCCTTACTCTTCTTTCCTCCTCATCTCTCCTCTCTTACCTTCCTCTCTCATTATTCTAGGGGTTGGTGGGTGTGGTATTGAAGGTTGATGTATATCGGATTGACTCCGTCCCGAACCCCATAAATCTCCATCTTGAGTTAGAACTGAGATTCGATTAATCTAATCTTCTGGTCGGGGGATGATAAATCTTCTCAATAAAACAACACAGTCATCCTGCACAGCAGTCTTAAACTCAAATATTTTCAAGCAGTGAAAATAAACATAAGAAGTACACAACATCTAAACCAATACATGTTCTTAAGTACTTTAGCTAGAACTAACCAGAGTACATGGAGCTTATCTAGAGTACCTGGAGTAACTCACAGTACATAAATCTAACTCCAGCACATAGTGCTTAAAACCAGTACATGAAGACTCATACTAGTACTTGGAGCTGAAACCCTGTACATTAAACTTAAATAAATCCTTATAACCATTAGATCTGGTCTAGTCGAGGTGTAGTAAGTAAACTAAACTAATCTGTTTAGATCTGGTCTAGTCGAGGTGTAGTAAGTAAACTAATCTGTTTAGATCTGGTCTAGTCGAGGTGTAGTAAGTAAACTAAACTAATCTGTTTAGATCTGGTCTAGTCGAGGTGTAGTAACTAAGCTAATCTGTTTAGATCTGGTCTAGTCGAGGTGTAGTAACTAAACTAATCTGTTTAGATCTGGTCTAGTCGAGGTGTAGTAACTAAACTAATCTTTGTTTAGATCTGGTCTAGTCGAGGTGTATAAATAACTAAACTAATATTTGTTTAGATCTGGTCTAGTCGAGGTGTATAAATAACTAAACTAATCTGTTTAGATTTGGTCTAGTCGAGGTGTAGTAACTAAACTAATCTTTGTTTAGATCTGGTCTAGTCGATTTGTAATAACTAAACTAATCTTTGTTTAGATCTGGTCTACTCGAGGTGTAGTAACTAAACTAATATTTGTTTAGATCTGGTCTACTCGAGGTGTAGTAACTAAACTAATATTTGTTTAGATCTGGTCTAGTCGAGGTGTAGTAACTAAACTAATCTTTGTTTATATCTGGTCTAGTCGAGGTGTAGTATATAAACTAATCTTTGTTTAGATCTGGTCTAGTCGAGGTGTAGTATATAAACTAATCTTTGTTTAGATCTAGTCTAGTCGAGGTGTAGTATATAAACTAATCTTTGTTTAGATCTGGTCTAGTCGAGGTGTAGTAACTAAACTAATCTTTGTTTAGATCTGGTCTAGTCGAGGTGTAGTATATAAACTAATTTTTGTTTAGATCTGGTCTAGTCGAGGTGTATAAATAACTAAGCTAATCTTTGTTTAGATCTGGTCTAGTCGAGGTGTAATAACTAAACTAATCTTTGTTTAGATCTGGTCTAGTCGAGGTGTAGTAACTAAACTGATGAGATGTATAGACAAGGATATGGACGATATAATTACTGTCGAGGACTTCATGTCGTTCTTTATAGTCATCACAAACCCTCTGTAAGTAAAATATCTGTTTTCTATGGATTCAGTTTGTTTATTTGTTCTAATCCTTAAAAGGGATTGTTTGCGTATTTTCAGGTTACCCTCGCTGCCAAGTTTCCTTAAAGTTAATTTCTCTCCAAAAGTGACTTGCGCATTTCTTGCTCATCAGAAGCCCTGGCAAAATTATCTGAATTGAACACTTATCCAGTCAGATTTTGGATAATACTTCAAGGATGCCATTATAACGCGGGCATTGTCATCCATGCATGAAAGTTCACTTGAAATTACTCGGATAGTCCCTTTCATTACGCAAAATTAAAAATTAAATTGCGACATTTTGTATTTGTTAAAATTTAATCACAGAGTTTTCCATCATTTAACAGCAAACTCAATGAAGGCTTGGTTTGCAGTATCTTTATCTATATCTCTGTTTACCTGTATCTCATTATCCAATTATGTTTAAATTCATCTTGACGGGATAATAAGCCAGACCTTATTATTTATTTTGACAAGGTTACTTAACGAGTTTATCTATAGTAAACTAATATACTCAGTGAACCCTGATACTAGTATACAGTATACCCTGATACTAGTATACAGTAAACCCTGATACTAGTATACAGTGTACCCTGATACTAGTATACAGTAAACCCGGATACTAGTATACAGTATACCCTCATACTAGTATACAGTATACCCTGATACTAGTATACAGTAAACCCTGATACTAGTATACAGTATACCCTGATACTAGTATACAGTAAACCCTGATACTAGTATACAGTATACCCTGATACTAGTATACAGTATACCCTGATACTAGTATACAGTAAACCCTCATACTTGTATACAGTATACCCTGATACTAGTATCCATAGTAAACCCTGACACTAGTATCCATAGAATACCCTGACACTAGTAACCATAGTAAACCTTGAGTATCCATAGGCAACCCTAATACCAGTATCCATAGTAAACCCTGATACCAGTATCCATAGTAAACCCTGATACTAGTATCCATAGTAAACCCTGTTACTAGTATCCATAGTAAACCCTGATACTTGTATCCATAGTAAACCATAATGCTAGTATCCATAGTAAACCCTAATTCTAGCATCCATTATAAACCCTGATACCAGTATCCATAGTAAACCCTAATACTAGTATCCATGGTAAACCCTAATACCAGTATCCATATAGTAAACCCTAATACCAGTATCCATAGTAAACCCTAATACTAGTATCCATAGTAAACCCCTAATACTAGTATCCATAGTAAACCCAAATACCAGTATCCATAGTAAACCCTGATACTAGTATCCATAGTAAACCCTGATACCAGTATCCATAGTAAACCCTGATACTTGTATCCATATTAAACCCTGATACTAGTATCCATAGTGAACCCTGATACTAACTAAAGCCTAGAATCCAATGAATTATTTCTTAAAACCCTGATAGAAGAGTGATGTTGATAGTGAATACTCCGGGATAGAGCACACAGTATGAGGGGGGTATATGGAGCAGGGTTTGGAGAATAGGGATCATGGTTCACTATGCTTAGGTCGAAAGGTTAAACGGGTTTCCAGAAATTCCTCTTAAACTGCGAGGTTAATTTACCTCAGAAGCTGCTTTATAATTAATTATGCCTACTTATATAAACGTATATCCACTCATTCATTCATCCTCAAACCGTCTAAAATGCGCTAAATTATGTGTTTAATCAATGTAAAATAATTGAATGTAATATCTAGGGTGCGTGGAGTTCTTAACGAAGAGAATATACAATGGTTGGAACAGGTTTTCCGAGAGAATGTTGGTAAAGGAAAAGAAGAATTCACTCTGGATGAGTTCAAAAAAATTGTGCCATCGAAAAATGTAAGTTTTTTGTAATTTATCTGAGTAAATATACATTCCCCCTCCCCCCCCCTCTAACGGCCCGTCATTTAGAGGAGAGAAAAATATACATTTGAATGTCCTTTGCATATAATTACTACGCCATGAGCAGCTTGGACTCAAAATTAGCGTCAGTTAATATTTCCGTTCCTTGTTTTGACGAGACCTGACGCACACACACTAAAGCGTACAGATAAGAACCTGGAAAACCCAATATAGGCCAAATGGCATCATTGACAATTACTGACGCATCGACAACTTGGCGTAATCAAACACAATTTTAAAATGACGCATCGACGAACTGACGTAATCAAACACGTTTATAAAATGACGCATCGACGAACTGGCGTAATCAAACACAATTATAAAATGACGCATCGACGAACTGGCGTAATCAAACACAATTATAAAATGACGCATCGACGAATAGAAATATTAAGACATTGATTTGCACATCGGCCGCACTAGATCTAGACAACTCTGAAAGTTAATAATCAAATTTTTAAAAAGCCTCAACTTTAAAGTGTCGCAACGCCCTGGCCTTTGACTTTATCTCACCCACACACTTATTGTTTTTTTATAACCCTAGACATAAATATTTTAAAATTGTAAAGGAGTAATTGGCAAAATACTGATAGATTTTTGCGTAAGAGCTTGAGCTGGTTTGCAGTGGCCGACGATTCGAAAAACTGACGATTTAATTAATTGATTCATTTGCGATCTGATCAGTGATTATTGATGAAAAGACAAACAAACTAAGGAATGGACATTTAAATTAATGATAAGAAACACTGCCCCAATTCAACCGAAACCGATGCACAGACAAAATAGCCGCTAAATCTGCTGAATCATAGAATTTCTTACAGGAGTTTTTTGTTGAACGGGCATTCCGAATTTTCGACAAGGACGGAAGCGGAACCGTCTCTCTGGCCGAGTTTATAGAGACGATGCATCAGTTCTCCGGACAAGGGGAGGACGAGAAGATTTCATTCCTCTTCAAGGTCTACGATCTAAACGGTAAGATTTTAGATATTTTAAATTGGATAAATTCTTTTCTTTTTCTTCTTAAAAATCCGGAAAACTACGACAGTGAGTACAATATCAAAAGTGCCGAATGTTAACATTTCTTTCACTGTCTCTGCTACACAAATCCGCCAGTCTCTTTTAAAGAGAACCCCCTTAGATGAAAATTTACGAACCTAACTTGCAAAATTTGAAGAAATTGGATTCGATTAAACCATGATATACAAACAGATATCTAGAGAGGTGTGGATGGATAGATAGAAGGATAACTAGACAGACGAGTGAAGGAGATCATGTTGGATAAGATTAAATCTCTGTTATCCCGTCTCCATGGACTCTCATAAACATTTATTCTAATACAGCGTATCGTAATTCTTTAAACCTCCACATTAAGATGTCGCACTAGAATATTAAAGCAATATACTAGGACAGTTCTATAGTTGCTTGGGCGTTTCTACACTTTAGAGACTGCACTTGTGCAAAGTAGTCCGAACCTTCTTTCGATTTGCCCAGGTTTGAGGGAAAAGATCAATTCTGGAAGGTTTTAAAAATTACAGGGTGTACATAAACCTGTGTGTAAATAGTAATAAATACATGAAACTTTGGATGAAAGGGAAAAATTTGATATTTTTTTGTGATTGACGCAAAAAAATTAGTTTCTAAATTCTCATGTTTATTTTGGCTCCACTTTACACACTGTAAATTTAAGATCCTATATAACCTTTCCGCCATTTTTCATGGCATCCATATTTACTGGGCACATGAAACTTAAAGATGTAAAATGCTCTCAATCAATTCCTTTTTGCAGTCAAGGGTCTGCCAACATATTCATGTTGGAGGGAAAAATCAGTGTTAGATTCGCATTCACCTTTTTCCCCAGGATCAAATTATTTTCTCTCCACTGCGGGTAATTGGCAGGTTTTATGGTATTATACACTAATTGCAAATACTTTTATATTTCCTTGAAGGAACATGTTGGCTTTATTTCAACTGATCCTCTGTCTGATTCCTAACGGTACTTATGGCTATGTGAATATTTTTAACTTTCCATGTAGAAGTGTCTTTCGGATCTATACATGCAGTGTTTGTAATTAACTCTTCATATGGAAACTAATTTGATGTTACTTGGATACTCCATTTAAGCTTATTGGTTCAACTTGTTCTTTGCTGTTTTATGAACATGGCAGTAAGCTGAAGTAGATCAAAGCTCGGATTTTATGAATAATATTGATTCAATATTATCTATTATATACGTATAGAGGATTCAATATTATCTATTATATACGTATAGAGGATTCAATATTATCTATTATATACGTATAGAGGATTCAATATTATCTATTATATACGTATAGAGGATTCGTCTCCAGAATCCAGTGTTTAAAGATTACAGATTATTGATTTACTTTTAATCAATCACATTTGACGGATGAGCCTCGATAAAACCACCCTAAAGATTTATAAACTAATAAATTAGAGATTTATTCGAAACATATAAATAAACTTTGTTAACTGTAGAAAAATATTGTTTTTAAGATGTATTAAAACTGCAAAGCACATCTTTGATAATTAACATGATTTTTCATAAAAAATGAACTACATATTTTACATTTTTATATTGAAAAACTGCTAATTTGACCTAAAAAATATCATTTTACAGAGAAATCAACTATTTCAATTTAAACCGGTTTTTCTCATTTTTAATTTTTTAAACATTCTTGAAATGAAGAAATTACGTTAACCCTGTAATTTTGATGATTTTATCATTAAGGAATTCGTAATTCTCATTACTACATAATCACAGGGTCTGCACATATTAAACGTCTGTAATAAAGAGCCATGAAAACTTGAAATAGTAAAACCTTAATTCTTTTAATATAACAATTCGTCATTAGTACGAAAACCATAGTCTGTAATTAGGGGAGGCGCTTCTTATACTGCTACCGGTTTGTGGCTTAATAGACGCTATACTAAATTCTTATATTTGGATGGTAAACCCTGA